ATTCTTCTCGTAGAATCCATCATTGATTCCTCTACTTCGTTATCCCAGGACTCCTTGTCTTCATCTTTCTCTAGTTTTCCATAAGTGGAGTTCTTTGCGTAGTCTTCCTTCAGACATTCTTTTCAAATGTCCATACTACTTCAGGCGTGTTTTCTCAATCTCTTCCAGAATGGTTCTTTTGGCCTCCATCTTTTTTCTGATGGTTTATTTCTCACTTTATCCATTCTGGATATTTCCGGATGTTCAAGTAATCCATTCCTGTGGCTAGGATAGTTATTCCTAAGGTTGTATTTTTAGGTCAAACTTTTTTACCCTAAGTAATAATGCTCAGAATTATACTATTTTAGATTTCTTTTTTTTTGTTTTGGGGATAATGTTCCGGATCCATAATACCGAGTTGTGCATTGATATGGTCTATTTACCATCTGAAATTTTTCTTTTTATTTCCCCATCACATGTACCATCTATTTCAATTATGGAACCAAGATATTTAAAATGTTTAATTCTTTTTAGAACCCCTCCTGGATTCAGTTATATATCCTCATTATTGAATGTCGTGTGTTCCGTTTTCTCTGCATTAATAATTAGTCCCCACTGCTGATATGCATAATTTAATTTTCTTAACATATATCCAGCACCTTCTGTGTACTGTGAAATGATGCCCTGATCATCTGCGAAGGATAGGTTATAATATAATATAATTTAATGAATATAATATAATTATATTTAATTCTTTATAATTAACTTTTAAAAATCACTTCTTCGGAAAAACTATATAAAAGTTATTAGAAAAAAGCACTTTAAGGAAAAATATTTTTAAAAAATTTGGTATTTAAGCTACGTCATATTACATCAATGAAGACAAGAACTAAATTATACTACAGACCATTAAATTTTAAATCGAGATATCAAGTTTATTCAAAATAGAGAATAAAATTGTTGATAACTAATAACACTTCCGTGATAACGATTAAGTAAGTCGATTTCAGCAAAAAAAAAACTTTTTTTGGGACTAAGGTCTTGAAAAATGTATTTTCGTATTGATAACAAGGATTCGAAATTTTTCATGATCCCAATTAGTTTAGTTTGTATCTCATAGAACGTGAAGGTAATTATAAAATATTTACGTTTATTATTTTCATGTTATATTTATATTTTTTATTTATTTCAAATTAATATTGGATAAGAGTGACAAATATATAAATTAACTATAAACGTATTGCACTGAATATCATTTCTAATAAGCTATTTTACCCTCATTGTATATTTAAAATTATTATTTAAATTGTAGAATGTTTTAAAATAATAATCTCCTTGGATTTTCCCTCTCAACTCCGTCAGAGACTAAATGATTGACAGATGATTAATAGTCTTTTAAATGAAAATAGAATTTTCATTTTGGCAACTGTTGGTAGGATTGCACGGCCATTCTGCAAATGGTTCATTTCATTGTTTTTAAACAATAACTTAAAAAGTTATTAAATTATACTCTTTTTCTTTTTTCCGAAGCTCAATTATGTCGAGATGGATAACCAAATATTACTTACAAAAAGGTTAAGGAAAGGACTCGGAGTTTAGAAATGGAGCGAAACGTAGGTAGGCGGATTATGTTAAGATAGATATTGATTTGTTTTTGTCTGGTATGGTATGTAGGTGTGGAGGGGAGAGGTGCAGCCAGGTTTTGGTGATATATCGTGGTTTCTCAGGATTTATTTTCACTGATATTGGACATTGACAAATCGGACTATATCCACGGATTATGGCTTTCCTAGGTTAACTGGCCCATGGAAATCGATATTTCTTTTACCGTAGTATACTGTCCATTCACTATTGAATATCCTAGAAAATATAATTATCTAAGAAAAAAATTATCTAAGAAAAAATCTAAGGAAATGTCAAATTAAGGTTGTACAATGCTATGAAAAAGTCAGTTCTAATATATGGTTGTGAGACCTGAACACTTACCAGCACCTTAGAAAAATGTATTGAAAGATTTGAGAGAAAAATCCTTCGCATGATAACCACAGCGATCTGGGTTCAGCGTACTGATACATGAAAAAGAAAGGCCAATAAAGAACTGCTTACAGAAACTAGTCAATCAATATCCCATAATATGAAGACAAGGAGGTTAAGGCGGGGCATGTAGCTCGTTATAAACCATCTGGAAGCCTCTACTTAATCCTTAATACAATACCTTAATGCAAGGCAAAAGATCACTTGGAAGACCCAAAAGCAGATGGATAGATAGAATCAACAAAGATACAATAGAGCTGCGTGAAGATAAATGGGAAGAAATAGCCCAAGCAGAAATGAAGAAAACTGATTAAGACGGCTTAAGCCGTAAAGGTTACTGAGTTAAGGTGGCTCGTCAGATAAGGTGGCTCTTCCCCTCCTTAATAAGACAATATTTCCTAGCTACGTTCCTCTATCAAATCATCAACAATCATCGTCCTTCTTATGCCTACAACCTTCTCCAGTTTATGTCCTCAATCCATTCCCTCACTACAAGATCTCGACCCTCTGACCTATACATCCCTTCTCATAGATCTGCCTCATTCCAAAACTCCTTTATAACCCGCTCTGCCAACTTTTGAAATTCCCTCCCGATCAAAATTCGACATGCCCCCCACCCTATCCACATTCAAAAACCTCCTATTCCAATTCCTGTTCCAAAAACAGCCAGCTACCATCTAACTGTTAATACTATATATGTATTGTGTAGCAATCATATAATCTTAATACTTGGTAAGAAATAGTACATGCATTTCCTACTATCGATGTAGGAATTTCAATACATAATTTTTTTTTTTATTCAATTATAATTCAATTATAATCAAGTATATGTATGTATGTATATATATATATATATATATATATGTGTGTGTGTGTGTGTGTGTGTATGTATGCATATGTATACAGGTAAAGTTTTTTTATGAAATCAACTTATTCTATCTCTTGTTCGTTCTTCATTTCTCAAAATGTATATTTATGTTGTTCAATCATTTGTTTTAAGTGATTTGTTCATAGTTTGATGTGGTTTGTTTATAGTTTTAAAAGTTTGTTATAGTTAAAGTTGTTTATAGTTTTGTACATAGTTTTATCTGTATTCTATATAGCTTGTTCACCAAAGGTTTTCTTTACTTTTTGGTTTATTTTATCAATTTTATTTATTGTTTCAAAGTTTAGGCCAGTAGTATTCTATTCTTTTGTTCAACTTTTTTATTCTATAGGGACGTAGTCCCAGAATAAAGTTTTTTCTCTATCTATATAATGTAATGGACAAAATAGAGTAATTTAAATCGGCGATTTATAGAGTAATTTAAATTGAAGATTAATAGAGTCGTTTGAGTTCTTCCTTGAGCGAAAACTGGTCACGAAGATGGTACAGTTCCAGATGAGCGATCTGTTACGCATCGAGTGAAGGTGTTTACTTTCCCTAACCTGTTACGCTATTCCCACGTCATATCGATTACCATATATCGATATAATACCTCTATAGATCAGGCTATACAATAGTTTAGTATAGTACTTTATAGAAAACCCCTCAAAAGGCTCAGAACATGGAGAATCACTTAAGGATTATTTCGTAATGCAGGAAAACTCTATATCTAAAGATACAAGATTGTCTGCATTTTAGAACATTATGCTAAATGCACCAGTAACTGACATGATTAAGGAAATTTCATTGAACTTCTACGTGTAAAAACGTAAATATTGAAATTGTTATATTTTTCATGGATTCATATGATAGAACTATTTCTCACTTTACCAAGACATATTTAAAATCCATGAAACACTCATTTAAATTTTAAAAAATTGAAAATTAAGAGCTGGCAATGTTTGATTTGGAATGTTTCTATAGCTGACAGCAATGAGAACAAGGATGTAATTAAGTGAAATTTCATATTCTTCATTTTAAGATTAAAAAAAATTACTTTTAACTTATTATAAAACTAACTTCCTGCGTTTTCCGACTTAAATTTATCAATCTGTTATTGGCAATAGGAAAACCTATTTTTGCTATAAATTTAATTCAAATCATTAGATTTTTTTTTTAACGAGACAGTAGTGAACTGTCGCATTTTTAATACATGTTATATTGAGTATATCTCTTTGAATTTATTAAAGTACAGGCCAGTCAACTACTAGAAAAAATTCCCATTTTAATGCTCCAGTAACTGATACCCAATATATATCCAATTCCTTCATCAAGATATTTCTTTTTTTTTTTTATTTTAATGAAATTTACAACTGTATTACATTAAAAATACAACAGGTAAATGTGACATTGGTAACATGACATGTAAAATATGAAGAGAAACATTGGTGGAACTCAAATTAAAGTTCTATATTAGAAGATCCCGAGGCCATCTTCTTTTCAGACGCCTCGGAGGGTTATCAGGGATAGAGTAGGAAGCAATGTTTGAAACCAGAGGGTTCGGATGGTTCTGCAGTTTGTTATGGAAGGATAGGTATCTGGATTGGGCCAAATCGGAAACATATGGAACATTAAGGTCTTTATGGATGATATTGTTTGCGACAAAGTAAGGAGCGTTGAGGATTTTGGATTGTAAGAATTGGATACGAGAGGAATTCGATGGTTTAGTGGAGTCCCAGAGCTCAATTCCGTAAGTCCGAATAGGTCTTATTATTGTCATATATATGAGTCGAAGATAAGTTAAAAATAGATAAAATATTATGTAAAAACACTCCAAAAAAACAATCAAACGAAAATTTTGGGAAAAATCAGTGTAGTTAAAGAGAAAAAGGCAAACTTAAGGTATGTTGTCCTGAACGACAAATGCTTGTTCCTGGTACACAAAGTGGACCCTCAGGGACTTTCCTAATTTGCCTCTTATTATGTCTCATTTTGAAGTTTTCTCTTTTATAGTCATACTGTTTTAATATTAACAAACGTCAAATATCTTAATGAAACCTATCCTTATCCAGGAAACTTTCAAGTTGGAAAATGGCCGCAGTTTTCTATTGGAGGGTTTGGACTATATAAGAGTGCAACTGTGACTTGACCCGTATTTTGATATAATAACGCCACCACGTCGGGATTGTGCAAAAGCCCAGACTACGCCCTGAAGGCGCTCGCACGCTGTGGTTTCTGCTTCACAGGTGCCATTGCTATAATAGTGGTGTACCTCAAGGCACTGCTTTCTACCGTCCCACCGCGATATTGAAAGAGAAACCCAATAATAAGGAATCGAAACTCTAAGTATCAGGTCTCGTTCCATTAGGTTCAACAATAACACCAGCCGTACATCGCGGTGTTCGCCAGTGTTAAATGTAATTTAAGATTTAAGATTATAAATTCCAACACTGTCATCACCACCTATGCCGATGACACGTGTATCCTATCAGTTAATAACGATCCTTTAATTGCATCCCAAACTCTTCAATCACATATCACAAGCCTTGAAGAATGGTGTAAAAATTGGAGAATAAAAATAAATTCCAACAAATCCCATCAAATCACTTTTACCCTCCGTCGTAAACCTATGACCTCTTGTCCTACAGTATCCTTCAATAACACTCCACTTATTCCTGTTGAGCAAATCCGCTACTTAGGACTCCACCTTGACAAACGACTCACTTGGAACCCCCATACCAGACTGAAACGACTAGAAACCGCCCGACGTTTTCGACTACTGCAGCACTTACTAGACAAACGCTCTAAGCTTTCAATCAATTATAAACGACTCGTATATATGACAATAATAAGACCTATTTGGACTTACGGAATTGAGCTTTGGGGCTCCACTAAACCATCGAATTCCTCTCGTATCCAATCCTTACAATCCAAAATCCTTCGTAAAATCCTCAACGCTCCTTACTTTGTCACAAATAAAATCATCCATAAAGACCTTAATGTTCCATATGTTTCCGATATGGCCCAATCCAGATACCTTTCCTTCCATAACAAACTGCAGAATCATCCGAATCCTCTCGTTTCAAACCTTGCTTCCTCCTCGATCCCTGATAACCCTCCGAGGCATCTGAAAAGAAGATGGCCTCGGGATCTTCTAATATAGAACTTTAATTTGAGTTCTACCAATGGGTAGTTTCTCTTCATGTTGTACATGCCATGTTACAAATTTCTCATTTACTTATTGTATTCTCTATGTAATACAGTTGTAAATTCCATTAAAATAATAATAAAAAAAAAAAAAAAGATTATAAATGTCTATTCATGAACTATGTCATTATGAATTTATGGGATTTAAATTCTATTTTATGAATGGAGTTTCAAATTCGGACGAACTTTCAAACCAGAAAACGGATGGAATACTAAGTTTGGTTGTAAGTAAATACACAGAAATTTTTCTCTTAAACTTTAAGAAACTTACGTTTTCACTGTTTTTAAGAAGACGAGATTTTTAATATTATCAATAAATTGTTTGCCAACTGTAATAAAAAAAATAAGTCACAAGAGCTATTTTTTTTAAAAACATTAAATTGAAACTAATAAGAATGGTTGTAATATTATCCAGATGATAATTTCAATATGTTCATTTCCCTTAAACGAATTAAAATGCATCTATTCTCGCTGGGATAACATCTTGGCTTATACTTTCAGAAGATCCTTTCGGTCAGGTGAGTACTGTCTTGGCATAAATTTATGAAATTAGGCTTCGTTAGTATTAATATTAAAATTTCAAATGATATTTTCATTGAATACAAGTTGAATTAAATATCCGAAAAGATTAAACAGGAAAGAACAAAAAATCGTGATATTATTGGATGATTACAATAGCATTGCCATAAACCTCTCAAATAACAGTAAATTACCAAGTTTTACTGTGATTAGTTGACAGCCTTGTGGTGAACTCTTGCGGCACAAAGTTTAAATTCATATTTGTTTTTCTTAACTCTTCGATATTTCTTCAAAATGTTTACAAATATTGAATTATCATGAGGATACAAGGTTCTTTCAAACAACCTCTTCAACCGACGATCCCCAATCGCCGAACTAGAGATACGAAGATATCAGACTGGCTTCCGAAGGGCAGACCGATCAAGTACATACGCAAAAGACGATTTTGGAAAGAGGTGATGAGTATAGGCTGCCAATTCTACGCTTATTAATTGACCTAAAAGATGCTTTTGACAGGATAAAACGAGCGAAGCTGTATGAAGCACTGTCGGAGATCAATTTCTTAAATAAGTTGATTCACCTTATGAAGCTGACAATGAGAGGAAGTGACAAAATCCGGATACAATCTGATTGTTCAATGAAATGGCAGAGGTAGTGACAAAGAGATGGCTTGTCTTCTATTTAGTTTTGCATTAGAAAAAGTGGTGAGACTCCGGAATCCAGACCCGAACTATATTCTCCAATACTTCTTTACGCCGATGACCTAGATATAGTTACAAGATCTTGGCCAGAGCTAGAAGAAGCATTCCTTAACCTTGCGGAGCAGCTTCAATCATTGATCTTGTTTTGAATGAAGCCAAAACTAAATATTTCTACACAGGGGATGGAGATGAAGGAGAGTTGGTTATTGGCTCTTACACTTCTATAAGGGTTACCTTGGTTCCCTCATGATATCTTTGAATGACGTGTCAGTGAAAATAAAGAAAAGATTGTCCGCTGCGATGATATGGCTTGCCGATCAAAAACATCATCGATAAATAATATAAACTCCTCTCTCGATCATAAAGGCCTCAAGTCGACGAAATGAGACATGTATTCAATGACAGAACTACAATTAACGCAAGGTTGTGTGGATGCGAACCCTATGCGTTGCGTTATCTCGAAAATAGTACGTTTTGGCTGTACGCATAAAAATCTTCAAGGTCCAATTTGTTCCGTATCGATCTACAGACCTACCACCGTCCCAGTATCGAAGCCTAGCAAAATGTTTGTATCATATTTATTTATTTTAGATTTATTTTATGTTTGTATCATATTTATTTATTTATTATACTTCAAGGGATCAACATCTTTTCAGAAATAGCCTTGAAGAATCACTCCAAAAGGACCCCAATGCTATTAAAAACTAAATATTGTTCCTTAAGGAAATCAAAATATTTAACAAAATTTAATCACTCATTGTAATTGTAAATGTTAAGTTTTTTAAGTTTGTATGTTCCTCTTTAAATTGTAAATATACCTGTTAATGTTTTCTCTTTTAATTAATTAGTTAATAATTTTTAACTATAATGGTTTTTCAATTTTTCTTCTCGTAATTTTTAATATTTAAATTGTACTTCCTAACTTTTCTTCTTTTAATATTAATTCTGTTTTTTAAACTCTATTTTTAGATTATATTCCTGAAATCATTAACCTTTTATTTAAATGTCCTTGTTAACTGTTAACTTATCTTTCTCTAATCTTTAATGTTTAATTCTAATGGTTCTTGTACTAATGTTTAAACTGTATTCTTTAACTTCGCCTCTATTAGTATTAATTTCTATTATTTAAAAATGTATTTTTTAGCTTTTATTCTTAGTATCATTAATCTTTATTGTCTCTGTTATCTCATCTTCTATTAAATCTTTAAGTTTCAATTTTTATAATTTTAGTTCAATTGTACTATCATAATCATCTGTAATTATTCTTAACTTTTCAAACTTTAAATTGTATTTCTTAGTTATAATTGAGTTATGTGTGTAGTAATTCATCAAATTGTAATATAGGGAGAAAATGACCCAAGTGGTTGAAGAGCCCAAAACATGTATAAATAAATAAAATAAAATTTATTTTAGAAAGAAAAACCAAAGTGGAGAATGTGATTCTCTAGTCCTCGTGAAATTCTGAATCCAACGGTACCCCATTCATGGTATTTGAGCATGAGAGGAGCTTATATTTGGTACAAAACCGATTTCGAGCCTTACTGTAATAATATAAGTGGGGATTTATTGCACATACTTTTTGATTAATATTTAGTTGTTATTTTGTTTCATATTATTTTATATTTTTTGTATGTATATATAGTATGAATGTAGTAGTACTTCACTATAATCGTTGTCAATCTTACAGAATTTTATATTATTCAGTAAATTAATTTAAAAAAAAAAGTTTGAGTAGGTTCACAAACCAAAAACTAGCTGTCCTTCAATTTTATATAGTTGCTTGTAGAGAAGACAAGACGTGGACTGCCGATGGGCACAGAGGCTCGGGCAGTGACTGCCGCGGTAACCGCCGTGATGTTGTGCGTACTGCTGGCAGTGGGCTTCAAGGGACCCGGGACCTTATCCTACCCCTTCAGCTTCGTCCCCACCGCCAACCGAGGAAGGAAGGAGGCCAAGGAGGAGGATGCGAAGGGCTGGAAGGATCTCTCTGACAAGAAATAAATAATTTACTCTCAAATAATATCTTTTTTATTATTTATTATAAATAAGTCTTGTACCTTGTTCTCCGTTCCTACCTCTCAGATCGTACCTTCCGAGTTCGTTGCGGTACTGAATTTTCGCATTGCTATCCAATTGAGGCAGGTGTTCCTCAAGGTAGCGTATTGGGTCCCGTCCTTCACATCCTCTTTACCGCCGATATCCCTGTCCATCCCGATACCTTCCTGGCAACTTTTGCTGATGACACCGCCATTCTATTATCCGACTCAGATCCCAACATAGCATCCTTAAATCTCCAAAACCACCTCACCTTGATTGAGCACTGGTGTAATAACTGGCGCATTAAAGTTAATGAATCTAAATGCCAACATATTACCTTTACACTCCGACGCAGTTCCTGTCCACCAGTACACTTTAATTCCATCCAGCTTCCTTACTCAGACACAGTCCGGTATCTTGGCTTTCATTTAGACCGAAGACTAACGTGGAACCCACATACTAGACTCAAAAGACAAGAACTCAACCGACGATACGGCCAGCTATACAGACTACTAAACAGAAAATCCAAACTTTCTATTGAAAACAAATTACTTATCTACAAGACAATACTGAAACCTATATGGACATACGGACTTGAACTGTGGGGGACAGCAAAAGCTTCTAACATCAAACGTATTCAATCCTTTCAATCTAAAGTCCTTCGAACAATAGTTGATGCTCCGTTCTATGTAAATAACAAAATCCTACACCATGACCTTAATATCCCATTTGTCCTAGACCTTATTCCAGAAAAATTCTCTAAATTTCACCAGAACCTTACCTATCATCCAAATCCCCTTGCACAATCTCTATCCAGCACCACCCATCCTTACAATCCTCCTCGAAGGTTGAAGCGGCAGTGGCCCAGAGACCTTTTGTAAATAAGAATCTATTGGAGTTT